TGCAACATGGAGAAAGGATCCCCACATGACAAACAGAACATTTTTCCGTACCATTCTACTGAAGTGTTTTTACTTTTAAAAACTGGAGAATTATCCACACTGTGGGAGCCCCTGTCTGTAGTTTGAAGATGAACAGTCTCAGAAGCAGATGTTTTTGTGGCACTTTAGAAATCGTAAAATGGGAGACTTCTGGGTCTCTGCAAGCTGCTGGTGAAGGCAGTTATGGTTTAGTTTTCACATTTTTCTCCACTTTCGCTTGTCATGATATGCTATTTTGAAAAAAATACATAAAAACTCTAGCTGAGACAAGAAGTCAATGGTTAATATAAACATTTTATTTTATTTCTTAATTACAGGGTCCAAGGTGGCTCATGAATTGTCAAAAAATAAACCAGATAAAAATGCAATAAACAATGAAACTTATGTTTGTTTAAAAACAATTAAAACTATTAAAAACATCTTAAAACAAATTTAAGATTACCTTTTTTATCGATTTACTTAAAGAACTTGCTTATCTCCTTTCCAGCAGGGACCTGAAAGTAATTTACAATTTATTCAGAATGTTAAAAAAAAAAGATTTTGAACATCTTTAAAAACAGATACAAACATCCTCTCCAAGCTAGCTTTTAAAAAATCCTAAAGACCCTTCCAAAAAAAGAGTAAAATGTTAGTTTGCCATACCACAACAATCACTTGGAATTATCTGCAAATAAAAGTAGGTTAATTCCACTGTATTTTTTATTTTCAGATAAATATGTCCCAAGAATATTGAAAAGCTACAGGTGCTCTTTTAGAAAACAGTGGGACACACAAAGTTTCATCAAGGATTTCCACACTCATGTTTATGTAATTATCAAATGAGTGTAGATACAATGCTTTAATTCCAGCCGTAACCAGAATCTTTGCAACGTTTTTCCTGTTTTTAGATATTTGTGCAAGAGGAGCATTATGAGCATCTATTTCCCCTTAAAATATACCTTTCTGTGTCAGACCTACTTCTAAATGAAATGCTAGCTGACCACTAGTGCTCTTTACTTCTTCCCCCTCCCCACCTCCACAAATCATGTGTATAGAAACAACCGTATGTTCCAAGGAATTACACAGGAAACAGCCATTGGATAGATGATGGCTTAAAAATATTCTGTGGTAGCCTGGGAGTTTCTTCACCGTGTAATTGGGGCAGCAGGCAGTTGTATGTGTCAGATGACCTCTGAGTGCCCTAGCTGGAAGGGGAAAGGTTTGATCGTCATCTGTGCAAGATCCAAGGGCATGCAGGCAAGATGGATGCCAGAAGTGGTGAGTGGGTGGCCTTACATGATGGGAGTTGTATGCAACCTTCAGACGTTTTCTGTGTTTGCTCTCCAACCAGATATCACGGGGTGGAGCGTTCCTTCCTTTTCAGATGGGGGAGAATGTTTGAGCGTGATACAAAATCCTCCTTTTGGTGCAGCAGCTGCAGACGAAACTGTAGATTCATTTTTTTTTAAAAAAGAAACCACAGGGATCTTAATAGGGAGATTTCAGAGGTCTGTCTTACAGAGACAGTTGCTTTAAAAGCAAAGGAAAAACTGTAATTGGATGAGCCATGTATGTATGTAAGGCTCGATACTGGCAGTACTATTTTTAGATAAACTAAGCTACGGTCCTTGACTACCAAATGTAGTCAGCAGCATTTGCTTCAGAGTAGCCTGGGTTTTTGTGTGTGTGTTGTTCGTTTGAAAGGCAGAAATCATTGTTCACCTATTTTGTACATAAAATACATTTGCCTCAAGATGGGTGTTGCTTAGAATACTATAAGCCTCTCTCTGTCCATTTCTGGCTCTCTCTGTGTGTATATGTTTGCATTGAACAGTGCAGTACACCATTTTGTTCTACAGTAAGATTTCCAAGTGTCTTCCGTTAATCAATGTTTATGCTACTTATAAATTCCAAAAGAATTTCCTTACAGTTGTTGACCTTGAGTAAAAGAAGAAACAAAGTATTCAGCTCTCTTATGCATAGTACAGTGGTGCCTCGCTTAGTGATGTTAATCCGTGCAGCAAAAATCGCTGCAAAGCGATAACATCGCTAAGTGATTTTAAAAAGCCCATAGAAACGCATTAAAACGCGTTTAATGCGTTCCTATGGGCTTAAAAACTTACCTTATGCGAAAATCCTCCATTGCGGCGGCCATTTTCAGTGCCTCTAAAGTGAGGCAAAACAGTGGGCGGCAATTTTTTCCCCGGGCGGCCATTTTGGAACCCCCGATTAGCTGGCCGAAAATGGGGGCATTGCGATGATCACTTCCCCGCGATCATCGCAAAGCAAATATTCCCCATAGGAAACATCGCAAACTGATCGCTTTTGTGATTGCAAAAACAGCATCGCTAAGCGATTTCGTCATTCAACGGAGCGATCGCTAAGCGAGGCACCACTGTATATGCAAGTGTGTACGTGTGCAAAGACATTGTATGAAGTAATCTATAGCTTGCTTGTATTTGGTGATTTGTATTTTAGGCTACAGGGATAGGTAAAGGAGACCATGACAGAAAACATGCAAGATTTACTCTTTTTTCTGAGCCAATGTGAAGCTGTGTGTTTGTGATAAGGCTTTGCGTGTATTAATTACTCCCCCTGTATTGTCCCCCCAAGAACCTGTTAACCAGGTATGTTTGAAATTGATTCCCTAAGGCTGTTTTTTATATTCTAATTAATCTTGAAGGCTGAAAGCATATGTGTAGTGAAAGTAGCTCCTGTTCCATGCAATTATTGGCCCATTTGTTTCCCACTTCACCAAATCACCAGCCATAATGGAGTCATCAGTTTTTGAAAGACCCTTTGACACAGATGCATTCATAGGTGGGAAGAAACCCTACACTAAAAGCTGACGACCACTTAGTCTGCGTCTGTGTTATATGCTTATTTTATTTTCATTGGTTTTTAAATTCTTTAATAGATTAGGTCAGTCATTTTAGATGGACAAAATGATGAGTGAAAACATTTTAAATATACTGTCGCTGTGTATTTTCAACATGACACATTTTTATTGTATAATTTGAATCTCTTACTTCAGTATTCAGGATTTTTCCATTATGTAATGGTTTGAAGATGTGACCTGTTCTTTACCTTCCGTTAGGTTTGATTAGAATAGCGCAGATACTTTTTAGTCAAGGAACATGGTTTCAAAACATAATTGATAGCCACCCATGCTATGTTATTCTTGAATATAGTCCCTTTCATACGTACATACTCCATATATTATCAGTATTCGGTGCTTTGAGCTTGTTGAACTTTGCCGTGTCTTGTTGCAATGGAGATCAATCATGCAAAGTTGGGTGTAGTCCAAATATTGTTGGTCCACAACTCCCAATATCCTTTACCATTGGCCTAAGATTGAGGGAAAATGCAGATTAGAAACATCTGGAGTGTTGCCCTTTGCTCATCTTAGAATCATAGAAAAGTGAAATTGGAAGGGGCTTACAAGGCCATCAAGTCCAACCCCCTGCTCAGTGCAGGAATACAATCAAAGGATGTAAGTTTTTCTTGAATGCCTCCAGTGTTGGAGGCATTCTCTGCAGTAATAATTTGAAAAGGTAGTATTAAATGGACCTAGTGTAACTTAGCAAATGTAGTTGTATCGATTGTGTTGTGGCCTATTCCTCAAAACTGAGAATTGTTTGCTCACCCTACAGCAACCTGATTAACGAGGTATGTTAGACAGAAAAGAGACACTGCAAATATCATCATATGTAGCTGGGAATATACTGTAATCTTTCCCTTCCAAGCTTTTATTTACACCTTGATGTGACATTTGGGATGTGAATTTGTAAGTTAGAACCAGGGTTTCCCTATGTACAAACCATGTACTCTGATCCACGGACCATATTTTATAGAAGGGTGTGGTCACTAACGGCCTGTTAGATAAGACTGGTTGGAAACCATTCATTCTGTTTTGACCTTGATACAAACCTGCTTTGCTAGTGAGAAAATAAAATCAGTCTTGGCCTTTTTTTGGAATTCTCAAAAATTGAGCAGGGGGTTGGACTTGATGGCCTTGTAGGCCCCTTCCAACTTCACTTTGCTACAGTGGTGCCTCGCTTAACGAGGATAATCCGTTCCAGAGAAATCCTCGTTAAGCGAAATAAAAAATCCCATTGAAACGCATTGAAAACCCATTCAATGCATTCCAGTGGGCTGAATAACTCACCGTCCAGTGAAGATCCTCCATAGGGGTGGCCATTTTCGGTGCCTGTAAAGCGAGGAATCCATCAAAAAATTATTTATTATTTATTTATTTATTTATTTGATTTATATCCCGCTCATCTGGTAAATCTATACCACTCTGAAAACACAGCGGGGAGCCATTTTACACAGTCATCATATAGCGGCTTCATCATTTAACGAGGCAATTGTTAAGCGAGGCACCACTGTATGATTCTGTGTATCAGAGTGCTTACTCTGGTTGCCCAGACATCCCAGGGCCTTGCACACATATTGCTTTCTTCAGATCATAAAGAGAAAGCTTACAGTTCTATGACTGCACCAAAACACATCCAGTTTGCAATCCTATAACCAAAACATGTTTCTCCTGTTGCTCCCTTACAACAATCAGTTTCCTTCTTGAATGGTGTAGGTGAGTAAGTAGTTATCTCTGTGGTAGGTGGCAAACTTCCTTAGGGCTGAAGTTTCTGCTTGGGTCATCTGTTATCACAGTGATACATAAGGAAATATGATTGAGATGTTTTCACACTGACCTCAAACAAACTATATTTGTCTAGTAAGTTTGTGTGTGATAAAGTTCTCATGGACGATGCATGAGTAGGGTCCGAAATTCCATGCATGGGTAGGGTTTAAGCATGCAAATATATTTCTCTATGCATGTGTGTTGTGGTTAAGGTTTGTGAAGGTATGTGTGTAGCCAGGCAATTTTGTATGCTATGTGCACAAAAACCAGGTTATACTGGTTTGTGTCAGTATTGCAATTGATGCTTTCTAATTGCCTCTCCTTTGAATCTCTCTAGTTGTTGACCTCCTTTACTGGCGAGACGTTAAGAAGACGGGTGTGGTATTTGGAGCCAGCTTGTTCCTGCTGCTTTCTTTAACGGTGTTCAGTATCGTGAGTGTGGTTGCTTATATTGCCTTGGCTCTCCTATCAGTGACCATCAGTTTTAGGATATACAAGGGAGTTATCCAAGCAGTCCAAAAGTCTGATGAGGGTCACCCGTTCAGGTAAGCATGCATTCTTTTCCTAGGGCTCAACGATACTCTTTGTTGCCGAGGGGAGGGTGTGTGAGGTTGTCTCAGTTTTTATTGTTAAGACAGGAGGGTTTTGAAAAGACAGACGGCCATCTTGGATTATAGGCTCTATTTCGTGGCTAGTCCTTGTTTTGAAATGCTGGCACAGTCTGTCTGTAATCAGATTAAATATAACACGAAGCGCTTGGTAAGGGATAAAATTTATTTATTTATTTATTCAATTTATATGCCGCCCAAACTACCCAGAGGTCTCTGGGCGGCTTACAATAATTAAAATTCAATACAGCTCAACGATACTCTTTGTTGCCGAAGGGAGGGGGTGTGAGGTTGCCTCAGTTTTTATTAAGACAGGAGGGTTTTGAAAAGGCAGACGGCCATCTTGGATTATAGGCTCTATTTCGTGGCTAGTCCTTGTTTTGAAATGCTGGCACAGTCTGTCTGTAATCAGATTAAATATAACATGAAGCGCTTGGTAAGGGATAAAATGTGGATTGCATTGAAGGGAAAGATGTAGGTGGACTTGCACAGAGCAGCAAAGTGCAAAAACTGAATGTGTCCAAGCAGATGTTAGGCTTGTGGTCACAGTAATTTAGCAATTGTGTGTTATAGGGAATAGAGCTACTGCAGAAGGGCACCTTCAGCAGCTGTGTATCCGTGGCTCCATGTAGCAATGTCAGCTTCTGTAAGAACTTCCAGTTGGGGGATGCCTGTGCATTACCTGCCCATTACTCTTGCATAGACTGTTACAGGTGCAAGGTTTCTGTTTCACTGCTACACACATCCAGATGTTTCAAGCATCCTTTTTGCACAGCCTGACTAGAGCTGCTTTTCTATGTTCATTATGTGTGTTCCCTTCTACTCATTCCTCAAAATCTAGTGTGCAGTTGTGTTAGGCCTAATTTTGTCCTAAATTCTAGTTGCCCTGTAGGTCACTCTTGACTCCTTTGCTCCTTTGGGGAGATTAATGGGATGGCAATCCAGATGTAAACAAACGCCTTCTAATTCCTGAATATTATGAGGGCAATTCAAATGTTTTGGTAATGTGCAGTTTAGTCTCATTGTCCCTCCTTGATTAATTATATTATTAAAATATATATTTTTATAAAAATTATATTATTAAAAAAAGGCAGCTGTTGAAATAAAAGTGGTAGCTTCCTTCTAAGGTTGAGTCTAGATGTATTTTCTCAGATGTAAGCTTCTGGAGAAGTATTCTAAATGTGGAGCTATAGCTCTCCTTCCGGAAATAATACTCCATGCTTTCTTAAATGTTCCCATTGTTCCTAACAAGAGCTATGTAAGTGACAAGAAAGAAGCCCTAGGTCTCTTTTCACCCATTTTGGCTACCCTTTGAGGACATTTCCTTCTCTGTTCCTTTCTTTTCACTCTTCTACGAGTTGCTGTCAGAATGTGCCATTCAGATTTTTTTTCTGGAGTTCCAGCCCACAAACCCATTTCCAGGTCCCTGTATTTCACTCACCTGGAGCAGAGACTGTCTTAGAGCCTCTGTATCTGTCCTGGGCCTACTTCCTGTACTTAATAGACAAGAATAGAAGCTGCCGCAGTGCTCTCTGGAAGTTGTAGTCTCATTGCCCATTAGGCTCTAAAGAGAATGCTTCCCAAAGAACTACGTTGCTCACAAGGCACTGTTGGAGCTTCAGTTTTGGTACATTAACTATAGGCTGACGACAGACATGGAGGCCCTGTGAGTATAATGTAAGTGTAGGTGTGGGTCTCTGGGTTGGAATTCCCAGAATTTTGCCAGGGTAATTCCTGGAGAATTTTGAGATTTGGGGTCCAAAAAAATCTGACTGGCATTCAGTAGTTTTGTAGATGCTGGCCATGATTTCCCAAAATGGAAAGTCAGAATATCAGAGAGTCTTGGTTCATTATTCATGAACAGCATGGTAACTACATGTTCCACCAGTGCCTCTACTGGTTCTTCCTGTAATGGGAAGCTCGCTAGAAAGAAAAGGGCTTGGTGACTTCAACTTCTTGTTTGTTGCTACCTTAGCAAGCTGGAATCTGAAGCTTAGGTTTGATGTATGCTTGCGATTCTTGGCTTGTTTGGGAGTTATAACTAGGAATCCTCACTAAGCCTAACACTGGGATAGCTAATTGTTTGCTTCATTTTATTATTATATGGTCATAGACCCGAAAATACAAAGATAAAAACATTATATACGATATACAGAAGAAGTAAATTGTTAGAACATATCAGCAGTATAAAACTTGAGTCATGTGGTTGTCTTAGTATAACATTTTACGAATTCTTAAAAATGAGAATAAAAACTTAGCCACCGACTGTGTTTTTAATTGGTGCTCTCGACAGCAGAAATTTCAGGTAGTCTGTGGGAGGTATACTAGTGCATCATTGGGAGTTCTAGGGAGTTGAGGTTTGTTTGTTTGTTTGTTTGTTTGTTTAATTCCAGCAAGATCTGGAAATCTGAGTTTAGGAATCATTGCTTTTGAGTAGAACTAATATTTGAGCATCTAACATTAGGCCCCAGCTCCCATTTTTCTGTCAGCAATCGAATCTGGTAATACAACATTTTCATTCCTTATTATCATGTTTCCCTTCCAGATGATTTGGGGTTAAAGTTTTCATAATCCCTCACTATTGGCCCTGCTGACTAGGATTGAAGAGAGTTGTAGGGCAGAAACATTTAGAAGGCCACAGTGTTCAATGGCTTTTATAACATGCGAGGGGTGTGCCATGCAACATTTGCCGAAATTTGGGATCTCTTTAAAAAAATCACACATTAAGATGAATTTTTTGCATTTTTACTTGTTTCACCTTACTGAAGTAATATCTGAAATATTAACATCTGAATATTTTCAGATGTTAAATATTTCAGATATTACTTAAGGACTGTCCTAATGCTGCAAATTATAGAATATAACCTCTTTTAAAAAAAACAACGAATCTCAAGATGAATCTTAAGAAGGAACATCTCGCATCCTTTTTAAAAAATGAAGAATCAGCTTTATTTTAGGTGAAGAATGTAGAAGGAAAAAAAACACTTTCTGTTATTTTTCTTGAAACTAGAAACCAGGGGGCTGCATCTGAGTGGGTGCCTGCTGGTCGAGGTGGGGCTGGGAAACACTGAACACCTGTCTGGCTACTAAACCAACTGACATGAACCATTTGTATCTGTGGTTCTTGCCTTTTTTATGAGTTGTCTTCATGTTTACTAGCTCCAATTTGAGTTCAACCAATTCAATGCTTAGAGGAAAGAACGCAGAGCCTTGAAGCCTGCTAAGATTGTGGAAGGTAGATTCGCTCAGTTTCTAGAAGCAGGAGATAATAGAATAAAAGGGAACAGATCATGACAACTAGACTTTTCATTACAGAAGTACATTTGAAGGAGGCAGGTAGAATGCCTTCAGAATCTAGCTTGAAAGGCATTTGGTTTAAATTGCCAAGTCCTCCTTCTAAGGTTGAAAGGGCATAGTGTTGTTTGCTTGCCCTTTGCTAGTCTGCTTTATGTGGTCAGAGCTTGTTTCCACCATTTAATTGCTGTTCAGTCAAGTAATCATGCCAGGTCTTCGAAAAAGAAAAGAATAAGCTTTTAAGCACAGCAGTTTACTAGCAGTGCATCATTGAGAGAATACCCCAAGCTGTCCATCTGTATTATTCTTGGGTATGGTCCCCTTTCCTGTTTCTGTTGTGCTCTGAATGAGAATTTGGAGAGCTTTAAAAGCTCTGGCTGCCAAGCAGTATCTCATGAACGGCGCTTTTCCCCTACCAGGACTTACTTGGATAAAGATGTTGCTGTTTCCGAGGAGCTTGTCCAAAAATACAGCAACGTTGTGCTTGGCCACTTCAACAGCACAGTTAAAGAGCTCAGGCGCCTTTTCCTAGTGGATGACCTGGTGGATTCGCTAAAGGTAGGAGACCTCCTTTCCCCATTTCCAGAGTATATATTGTATTTATTTGTCCGTGTATAAGACAACCCAGTGTATAAGATGACCCACACTTTTACATCCCCAAATAAGAAAATTTTATTGCTGCTTTACCCCTCCATTTGGGGTTTAGGAAGTGGAGGGTTAAAGCAGCTGTGAAAGGGCTACATGGTCAAAGGGCTGCAATCCTGCAGCCCTTTCATCACTGCTTTACTCCTCCATTTCCTAAGCCCCGAAAGGAGGGGTAATGCAGCAATGAAAGAGCTGCAGGATCAAAGGGCTGCGATCCTGCAGCGCTTTGATCCGTTCCCCCTTACTTCTGTGTATAAGACGACCCTTAATTTTTTTCTAAAGATTTTAGATAAAAGTATCATCTTATACACAGAAAAATACAGTAATTACATCTAAGCATATATGCTTGAAAGTTGTAGCAGAGGAGTGGTGTGCTTTTGGCTGTTGGTTAAGCACAGATGGTACCACTAGTAGCAGCTTCACAGTAAGGTTGTTATTATGAGGATGTATTACAAACTACATGTGTGCAAACCCAAGAGATAGCGAATGGGAGCAAGGGAGTTCTCTTTTGGCTCTCAGTTCTATTGTTCTGTGTTGTTCATGTGTCTCACATACAGCTTGGTTATCAACTGCATGATCTGAACTCGTTTATAGAGGTGGGTGCACACTGCTGGTTCAGCAGTTTGTGTCAGTTCATTCATTGGGCAAACAGGTGTTTGGCACTTCAGGGGCACCACTTGGAAGAAGTGGGGCTTTAAACACTTGTTCAGCTGGCAAACAAACGGGCAGTCCATGTATATCTCTACTAATATGCATGGATGCAATACATGTGTAGCCTCATTAGTGTGCCTATGGATGTATATCTGGTAGTAAGATGCTTTTTCTTCTCTCAGTGAATTATTTTTATTTCTATGAGATTTGTTCAAACTGAGCCCTTTGTTGTGTAACATATGTTCTCAAACAGTAAGGCACTGTGGTGGTGAAATGTATGTGTGTGAAAAATGTCTTCAACCCTTTTGGTTATAATTGCAGAAACTGGTGGCATTGATTCATCTTTACTGATTACGATGAATGAATGCTTTCCTGGTGCGTGCATGTTCTCGTGTCTTATTAACATTGAATAAATTTAAATAGAGGTCCATTGTACGCAACTTAGAAGGACATAGCAAATAAAACAAAATAAAATTATTCTCTGCTATGGAAAAGTTACTTTTTTCTCCCAGTAAACGCTTCTTGTTTTCCCAAATGCTTCTCTAGCTTGTAGAATATCACTGTGGTGATCTAAAATGCTTCAGAGCACTTACATAACTGTGCAGGTTGGAGCACGTAGAAAGTGCTTCTGAGAACAGAAACAGAAAGCCTCAGTGCTTTCTTCCTCAGTTGCTAGAGCAGTCCCGTTTGCACTAAAAGAAATTGGGCTTAGACTATTAAATATTTTCACTTTTCATTTGGTGTACTAGAACTATCAGCAAATTATTTTATAATGGTCTGTTGATTTTAACTATTGGAAGGTTTAAAATTCTGAGGATTGTGTCTTGGGAAGCTGAAGTATAACACGAGAGCAAAAATTCTGTTTTGATAAAGTCACATATTTGGGTCCAGTAAAACATCTCATATTGGTATGTGGACTTGAAGTACTTTGAAAACCGTATCAGTCTAAATATGGTCTAATTTTCAGTAAGGTGGCAAATTTGTGTCTGAGTCTGTTTGGAAGATTTTAAGCTAGAATATGTCCTACTGTTTTTTTTACGAGTACAGTGGTGCCTCGCATAGCGATCGCTCCGTTTAGCGACAAAATCGCTTTGTGATGCATTTTTTGTGATCGCAAAAGTGATCGCTTTGCGATGTTCCCTATGGGGGAATTTCGCTTTACGATGACTGATCATCGCAAAGCGACCATTTTCGGCCAGCTGATCGGCGGTTTCAAAATGGCTGCTGGGAAAAAACATGGCCGCCCGCTGTTTTCTGGGATGGATTCCTTGCTTAAGAGGCACCAGAAATGGCCACGCTATGGAGGATCTTTGCTGAATGGTGAGTTTTAAACCCATAGGAATGAATTAATCGCGTTTTAATGCGTTTCTATGGGCTTTTTTATTTTGCATTGCGATGTTTTCGTTCTGCAGCGATTTTTGCAGAATTAATTAACGTCGCAATGCGAGGTACCACTGTACAAGCACAGGTGTGTGTTAGAGATGGGCACATACCACCACTTTAGCCAGTGGCCAAACAAATTTTCCATGGTTTGCCTCCCTGTCCCCTCTGATGGTCACCCACTCAGAAGCAGTTCCCAACTTCCTGCTGCACCTCCTCCAGGCACTTCCTCTGAGCGGGTGCTTGCTGGAGGAGGCAGAGCACTGAACTGTAGAATACTTCTTCTGCCATCAGCTGGACAGGTACTCTGGTGTGTATAGATGTGTCATAGGTGATGTACTTTTAGTGTTTTCCTCATTGGTAGTCTGAAGTGAGGGATACAATCTAGACACTGATTGACAGTCAGAACGAGAACTTGGGCTCAACCACTTGTCTGTCAGTTGAATCGAGCTAGTTGGTTTATTACTACAAAATCTCGATGATAATCTCTTGAAGGAATGGATACTTGGTTTTAAAACATTCCTCCGAAATGATTACAGTGCAACACACTGTTGAGCGTTCTTTTATTCAGCAACCTTCACAGCAGGGGTGAGGCATGCATATGTGGGTTCATTTTGGTAGCCATCCAGAATTTGTGCATCCAACTTCCCTTTGCCTAGACTCCAAAGTTAAATGAAGCTTTGGGGGAATTCCAAGCAATGTATTCTCAAAGGCTTTCATGGCCAGGATCTGATGGTTGTTGTAGGTTTTTCAGGCTGTTTGGCGGTGTTCTGGAGATTTTTCTTCCTAATGTTTTGCCAGTCTCTCTGTGGCCAGCGTCTTCAGAGGACAAGAGTCAGAACACAGAAAGAAGTTCTAATTCCTGTCCTCTGAAGATGCCGGCCACAGAGACTGGCACACTGTTAGGAAGAAAAACCTCCAGAACATGGCCGAACAGCCGGAAAAACCTACATCAACCATCGAAGCACTTTAGGAGCCCCGTGCAGCTCTGAGGAAAGGTTGCGCTCTTTTCCTCATTTCCAGCATGGATGCAATGGTGGCCCAATTGCCTAGTTGAACTTTAGAAGAGCTTAGAATAGAGCCACACATATCCAAAAAAGGGCAGAGGGTCTCGCCAGAAGAAAACATGTACATAACAGAGGCAAGCTCCCACCCAGGAAAAAAAATGGCCCAGTGTGGTGTAGTGGATAGAGTAGGACTCTGCACACCAGGCTTCGACTCCTCGCTCAGCCATGGAAAACTCACTGGGGTGTGTGGAACTGGTAAAACCACTCCTTAAATATCTCACTTGCCTTGAAAGCCCTGTTAGGATCTCTATAAGCTGTTTCCAACTTGACAGCACGCAACAACCACATAGATAAGGGAGAAGGAAAGTCAGAATATGGAAATCATGAGAATTTTGCTCCTTCAACAAAATAATACTGCAGCTACTTCAGTTCGGCAGCATCCGAAAAGGGACACTGCAGAGAACTGCTTGCAGCTACCAAGACTGTAGGGGCTGTGTGGCCGCAGTTTCCCAGTGACAGAAATGGCCCTTCAAAGTGCTTTAAATAACCTTTCACTCATTTAGTGTTCTGATGGAGAGGTGAGGTTGGTGATGATCTGAGCAAATGGACGCAGCGTTGCTGCATGCACTCCTCTGGCAGTCTTCAATAGCCTTGGCTTCAGCAGAGCAGAAGGATCAACTGTCTGCTTATCAGAAAGCCTAAGCTACTGCCTGGCACACTTGCTTAATGACTGAATGACTGATGGTGATGATGCTGTTACGCGTGCTGTATTGACTCTACAGTGGTGTCTTGCTTTACGATTGCCCCACATTATGACAAAACTGCATTATGACAATCTTTTTGCGATCGCAATTGCGATCGCAAAACAATGGTCTAGATGGGGTTTTTTCGTTTTGCAGTGATCAGTTCCCTGCTTCGGGAACTGATTCTTCACAAAACGACGATTTTAAAACAGGTGATCGGTGGTTTCGAAATGGCCACCAGGTAAACAAAATGGCTCCCCGCTGTTTTCTGGGATGGATTCCTCACAAGACAGGCAGCTAAAATGGCTGCCCTATGGAGGATCTTCGCTGGATAGTGAGTTTTGACCCCACTGGAACGCATTGAAGGGGTTTCAATGTATTTCAGTGTGTGTTTTTTTTCCACTTTACGATGTTTTTGCTTAACGGCGATTTTCCTGAAATGGATTATCACTGTTAAGCGAGGCACCATTGTATGTGGCTGCAGTTACTAATTGATGGTTCTTGAGTTTGGGATTCCCAACTCCCAGACTCGATAGTCTGCTGATATGTTTCAAGTGGAAAATAAGTCATTGTCTTCTCTTATTCTTCTATATATATTTTGACAGTATAACATTTTTAAATATCCCAGTGATCTATTCTAAACCCGCAGCATATACAAACAAATACCTTCTGTGAAGGAGTCTGGAAGTTGGTGTGGGTTAGACTTTCTGCCATACAGGGCTTGTAGCCCAAGAACCTCTGGTCAAAAATAGTTTAAACATTTTAATCTTTAGTTTGTTTGAATTTTATTTATATTTTGCTGACATTTATAATTTATAAATTGTGCAGTGCTCTGATACAAATGAAAGGCCTCCAAACATTTTTCAAAAATTCCTTATAATCTTACTAAAAGTTTATATAGCCAGCATCCTGTTTTCATGGTGGCAAGCAGGATGCTTGTGGAAGCTCACCAGCAAGGTACGGAGGCAGTCCACTTTCCATTTAAATCAACAGGCTGAGTTTGCGATTCAGAAATATCTTGGGCCTTCACTGGGAGTGCATCCAAAGTCCCTTGATGTCACTATCTTGCATCTGGTTAGGGTTCCCATTGATACCTGCCCCATTGCAAAGTTGATCCTCCAAACCTGAAATC